ATAGTATTACATACAATATAATATGGTTTTGTTTTTTTCTCAGGAGAGACAAAGAAACTGGCCAAAAGAGATGCGTGTCTGCCAGAGAGACAAAAACTTTTGTTCTTAATTTATATGCTGCTTTGTACTATTTTCAATTATGCACTGTTTTAATTGTACATGGCAACGCTGCAGTCGTTTTGGCAATACAAATGTAAAAATATATTGAAGTAATAAGAACTGTCCCGAGACATCATGTAGGCCTAATCATTCTTAGTTTCATTATTGGGCAATTCCAGTGTTAAGGATGTGACATTCGCAGTCAAAACCTGAAATATAAATTCTTACAGAATGTATTCATTACCGATATATTGAACCAGCTCTTTATGTTTTTCTAAATCCCAAATAGAGTCCAGACATCAGAAAAGTATCCATCTATGAACGTGTTTTATAGGCTATTTTGTATGTGGGAAATACACATGCGTTACGGATTTGATAAAACAAAGACCCGAGTTTTTGGGAGACAATATATTTTGTAGACTTTCTGTGATTTACAATGGACAAACCAGAAGCAACAATATCTGCAGAATGGAGAACAGTTGACCATTCACAAAACATAAAATATCAATTTTATTTCAATTTTCATTTTTGTGTTTCAGAGGAAAAAGCAATGTTAAGGATGTGACATCTCTCCTTTATGGACCGTTCTGAAAGCAGAATTTATGCAAACGTGTATAAATGCTTTAAAAACTTTAACAGAGATGCCTAATAGTCTATTGGATGCGCCTTTAGAGAGAAATGCAACCTTCATTCAAATAATATAATCAGGGATTATTTGATTTCGTTTTGAATTGGTTCCTTTAAAAGTAAAATTTTTTCTCATGTATGTGAGGTACCCCAGTTTTTCGTTATTTCATTATCAGGAAAAAATTCAAGTGATCACGAGGGCGCCTCCCTGTCATGCATGCACATTAAAGGGTTAGTTCACCCAAAAATAAAAATTAGGCTGCGTTTTACTCACCCCCTTTTCCGCACAAACACTTAAATATGAATAGTAGGGGTGGGAATCTATGGGTATCTCACGATTCGATTCGATTACGATTCAGAAGCCCACGATTCAATTACGATTAACGATGCATCACAATGTTGTACCATCTATGTAAAATTCTACTACTTTTTAAACAACCACAGAACTCAAGGGTGAAGCAAAAAAGATATTTCACACTATTACTTTATTAACAGTGTGCAAGTGCAATATTCAAAAAGTGCCAGTAGCAGCATTTGCTGTAATAAATAGAAAACTGACAGCATTAACATCGCACATGCACAAATCCCCCCAGCTGAGCAGCAACAACCATGTTTGATGCGTTGTCGGTCACTAACACCAAGTCTCTCGTGGGAAACTGCCATTCCTCAGCGACTTTTTGTATTAGGTCAGCTATATTAGCGCCTGTGTGACTCTCGTAGACAGCCCTAGTTTGCAAAACATGGGACAACAACCGCCAGTCATCCGAGATATAATGGGCTGTTACAGTGATGTACGAATCCGTAGCAACAGATGTCCAGGCATCACAAGTCAATGCTATTTTACCTGCTTTTTTCAGCGACTCCAGTACTGTTGTTTTGGTGCTTTGGTACAGATTTGGTATTACTGTCTCTGCAAAAAAACGACGTGAGGGGATTTTATACCATGGTTCCCTTTCATGGGAACTTTGAACTGCGTCCTCTAGGGGTCGCTATGGGAAACCTAGAGGACGCAGTGTCTCGTTCCCTACTCAGGGAACCATGGTTACATAAGTAACCTGAGACGATCCATTGTATGCATCATTGCACGAAACCCCCTTCCTTCCACCACGGAGTAAGGGCGCAAATCCGATGCAATGTACTCGCTAATGGATTTTGTTATTTTCCTTGCCCTTTGCGAGTTTGCAAGAAGAGTGGTTAATATTGAAGCTGGAAGAGTTGTTTGGTTAGCAGCAACAACGGGTCCTTCTGCGTTCACATCTGCGTGGCAGCATTGAAGGTGATTCCTCAGGTTTGTTGTGTTGCCAAAATATTTTATTTTCACCTCACACATCCTACACATAGTGTAGTTTTTATCAAGTGTTTTATCAACTTTCTCGGTTTCTAAAAAACCAAAATGCTTCCAAACGTCGGCTTTTAACGTTGCAGGTGCCGCTCTAATGTGTGTAGCTTCGGCCATTTTGTCACGTACTAGCGCCTCAGCGAACGCAGACGTACTACGTCTGACGTAAGAAACACACGTAAACGTGCTAGTAGCGCATGCACTCATCTCTGTGGCCGTGGGGCCGACAAATTCCGATAGAATGTATTGCAAACGAGCACAAATCTGACTTTTTTCATTTAAACTTAAGACATCGATTATTTAAATCTCTGCATCGATTCAGAATCGTTTAATGCGGAACAACGATGCATCGAAAAAACGATTATTTTTCCCACCCCTAATGAATAGTAATAGAGCACATTTATTTTAGGTTAACGCTACAGTATGGGATCCGCATTAAAATAAATCTTCACAAGTCTACATCCGAGACAGGTGCAGTTAGGCTATAACCTGTAATTGAAGGCTATTAGACATTTTAAAATGATCTGCCGCTCCTATTCGTTGATCATTAGTGTTCTTGTCGCAGTCATAAACATGTTTTAATCACTCTTATATTCTTTTTTTAATAAATCGCTTATGCATTAAATAATATAGATACAAAGCAGGTTAAGTTAAATTGTACAAATAATTATAAAATGCTATAGACTGCCAAGAAGATTTTTCACATTTTGCATATGCATAACAAAGTTAATTATTTTTTTTACATGCAATGACACAAAATAAAAACAAACAAGATTTGTAATGAAGAAAAAAAATAGACAAATAAGAATAAATGATGTAACCCCTCAGCACATCTCTTGAGCGTCGCACTCAGCAGCATGCACGCCGAACAACCAAATCTTGCACTCTCAGAGCAGATAGCGACACAAGTTATGTGAAACACATGAAATTTTTAAATAAGATAATAGTGACAATGAACATTATATGACATTTAAATTAGTTTTGACGATTTGTCCTTCAGTCCGCCTGTGCATTTCTGACCCGCACTGGGCTGAATCTCTGCGAAAATTGCAATTTCTAAAATGTTACTAGAATAAATTCATTTCTAAAATGTTATGATACGGAAAGCCTGAAACAGATCACAGCAGTATATAGACCTACAAAGTAGGTTATCAGTCATCAGCATGATTGTAATGCGAGAACTTGAGTTTAAACAGAGGACGTTTTATTAATCCGTCCCTTCTTTTCAGTTTCAATGATTTAGCTAAATCGTGCCAAGTTTAATTTATCTGTTTCTTGTTTTAGTTAGACCTAAATAATGAGAGCGAAATTATACAGAGCCTCAGGTTTTACTAAAATAAAGGAAATAATTCATAAAATACGCAACAATTTCTTAATTAGTGAACAGATATCTTTTCCCCACGTAGTTCTTTGTCAAAATAAAGGGCCGGTAATGAATATCAAAGCATGTGCGTGACAAAAAAATGCATGCTGTTTTATTAAAGGAATTTTAATATATACATTAAAAATGTATTGTGACAAATATTAAGTCATGTAAGAATATTGACATTTAGAATCCATGTATGTAGCCTAGCCTGAAATAGGCTACCGCTATTAATGCTCCGATGCAAAGTAAACAACCATTTCTTTAAGGTAATATAACACATGATTTATATTATATAAATAATGCTGCACACCTGTTAAATGTTTCAAATGTAAAATATGGTGTAATACTTAGCTTAGCGTAAATATAAGCACAGGCTCATTACTTGACATTTATCCTGCTTGAATTTGTTCTAAATGAGAAATGCACATAACTTCGTAAGTACTAAATTTGCATCGGTGAATATGAAATATTTTATCTAGGTCTACAGTGTTTTTCTTTCATTTTCCGCCGACTGCAGCCGTCAAATGTAACATCGGCGAGGCAAAGCTGACGGCTATTTGTGAAAATGCACTTTGAAGCGTTCGCTTGATAACTTGTGGTTAAAGCGCCACTCAGCGGTCAAAAGCTGCAAATGCATTTTGCAGACGCGGCGGTACCCGCGGCGGTAAAAAGCTCATTCTGGTTGAGTACCATCTCTATCTATCTCTCTCTGTCCGTCTGTCTGTCTGTCTGTCTGTCCGTCGGTCGTTCTCTCTATTGTTTTGCCTGTCTGTATCTATCTTCCTATCTATGAATTGGAATTTGTGACGTGAAGTGCATTTTGCAGACGCGGCGGCAAAAAGCACGTTCTGGTTGGCCACCTACTTTATACATATACAACACACATTTTTTCTGTAATTAGTCATGATTAATCACATATTATTTATACTGTCAAAATTTCACATTGTATCTCCAAATGAATGTAGAAACAACATACAGATGATATATTTTAAATGTAATGTGTTTCAAAGGCATCTTTTCCCTAAGTAGCCTGTTATTAATGAAGGCCAGTATCATTGATATCAGTACTGCTACTGATGTCTCTAATAAATATATTTCCCCCCAATTTTAGCCATTAATTATAGCCATTCAACATTAAAGCTATGATTTTAGGCTTTGAAAGAGTGAACTTATAACAATCCTAACATGAAGTCTTCACATAATTTGTGCATGAACTATAAATTGAATATAGTTTCGATCTTTACTCAAGCTATAACATGATATTTAGCCGCTGGAATGTGAATTTTACTGGAGGATCCCTGCCGAAAAACGTGTATTTTACCCCCCCCCCCAATGTGATTTTTACCGGGGAAGCCCCCTCGAAACGCTAGTTTTGGCGGGTTTTGTTGCAGAAACCCGGCAACCCTGGGTATTTGTCTGGTTAGCATGAGGAGCCACTCCATGTCAAATAAAACCACTTCAATTAGGACGCTCACATGATAATCTTCATAAACATCATTCATGTCTGTAGAGATGGACATTTTAATAAGGATCAAATGAGTGAGTTGAGCTTTGAGAATGAAAACTAACCTGTTTGTTCCTCAGTATCTTGTTTCAGACTAAATACTTCCTCAATCCTGATGTCTTCACTCTCCTCTTTAATAAACGCCATCTTTATTAACACGTGGACATCAGTCGCTTCAGCAGGAGTTTTTCTGTGTGTTTTGTCCTGTTTAAAATGAAGAAAACAATGAACAAAATAAAAATAAACCCAAACTAAATCTCTGGGTGCGTCTCAATCTTCTCCCTAGTTATTGCACCGCTAAGTGAGTTAGTCAGAGTGATAGTTAATGGCCTTAAATGACCTGATTGGACACAAACAAAAAACAAACAAACAGCATTTATGCATTACATTTGGTATTAAAGTTGCCAACCTTTCTGTATAGCCTAATACAGAATTGGCCCGTATTTAAGGCATCAAAGAAGTGCTCCGTATGGAACACAGTTTGTCCCGTATTCGCAGACATACACCACACCCAACAAAACCAGAACATTCCCCTATGGTTCCCATTTGGTTATTTTTTGGGAACCAAATAAGAACATTCTAGTAAGTTCCCTGTACAGGGATCCAGACGGCAACTAAAACGGTCGCATTTGTGACCAAAAATATTAATTTAGCTGAGATCGCCACTGGCGACTACATAAACTTACATTATGATTTAAAATTGTGCATGTAATGCCTTTTTAGTTTTGCGATCACATCTTTTGTTATGTTCATGTAATAAACTGAGACGATGCACATCAAAGTTTTAGTGGGAAATCAGTCCTCATCTCTGCAGAACAACAGCGTTCTGTTAATGCCTGAACTTTGTGCTCTGTTACATTTTAATAAACAAAGTATCAGCTTTAAAATTATGCCAAATTCATAACAAAACATTTTTTTTTTTTGGCTGAATGTTTTTTTGGTTTATATAGTTCCCTGCAGGTTATTTTTAGTTTTATTTTCATAACCATGCAAACTAATTGAAATGTTGCAGATGTTTCTGAGTGATGACCAGCAGAAAGATTATTTTAATTATAAGCTGAAATGTGTGTTTTACAGAAACAAACAGAATTTCATGTCTGAAATGAATTTTTAATAAACTGTAGAAATTAAAGCAGTCCAAACGCATTATAATGATCAGGTAAATCCAATTTTATAGCTAAAATATTAAGCCACGGTTAAGCATAGTTTACTGTTTATTATTATTATTATCATCATTATTATCTGTTCATTTAATACTTGTTATATTTAATAGATTAGGTTTTCAGGGGGAAAAAATTGCTATAGGTTTGTAAAAGTTGTTATTGCACGTTTGGGTTTGTTGTATTTGCGCTTCGAATCACTGAATCATTTTGCGATCAATCGATTGAATTGACTCGGCGTTTGATAGAGCCGATCAGTTGATTCAATAAATGAAGAGAAATGAGATGCGCCGTTTCTCTTAAGGTCTCTGCACACCAGTGTTGCCAGACGTACGATAATTATCGTATTTGTACGATAATTTTGACCTCTGTACGATGTACGATCAATAATGAAAAAAATCCCATAATGTACGATCATTTCGAAATTTCAGAACATGTTTTTTCCAAAGTCAACCTCATCAAAACAAAGCCATGAAATCGGCTCATTACAGACGCTCTAAATGGGTTGGTGCACACCTCAGGACCCTCAACATCTGGCAGCACGCAGGATTCTGATGACAGCGACTCAGAGGTGGAGTTTGGACCATCCCACAAGGTACGCCTATGGCCCTATGATTTCCGCAATGCGGAAAACATGGATGGAATTGCGGAATCCAGTCAACGTAATTTACTGTATAACGCGGAATGTCACGGAATTTGTCAAAGTTTGGATGAATTAATCAAAGGAAGGTCATTACACTTAAATCGTGATATGGACTCGTATCTGTAAATAATAAGCCGCAAAAAGGCTATTTAAATATAAATCCTGCATGTTCTGTGTCTGTCTGAATCATAGTCTATGGTCTGAATGAATGTGATGGGATGTTGTTCATGTATTTATGTCCTATTTAGTGAGAAGGCAGATGCTGAAATCACCTCGCGAGCGTCACGCGCGCTTCAGTATGTGTGTAGTAAACAAAACCGCGTGTGACGCTCGCGGTGATTTCAGCATTTGCCTTCTCACTAAATAGGACATAAATACATGAACAACATCCCCAGAACTGAGAGTCAAAAATATATAGTTTCTGCCAGAAATGTATTATATTGTTCAGAAGAATGTACGTACAACTACTACTACTACAATTATTAAGGAATAATCACAATATTTCTTCCATGTTTTAATTTTAATTGTAAATCCCCTTTGTTTGCCAAAAAATACAATGTTTAATTTCCATTAATTAAAAGATTAATTAAATTTATGTGTTATGCCTTCATTCGATAACCAGAAAAATTAAAATACACAACGCAGAATTTCTAAAGAAAAAAAAAAATGTCGTAAGGCTATAAATAAAAATAGTTTTTATGCATTCAAATAATTAAGACATATTAAAACACAGAATTTGATAACAATAAACAAGGTGAAAAAAATGTCATAAAACCCTAAACATGTAATTTTTGTTAAACGTTTTAATAGATTTGATGTTGAATTATATACGTTTCATTTTTTAATTAGACGTGCTTTTTATTAATAAAATGTAATTTAACCATTTAAAAAGGAGTCCAGAAAAATTAAAATGGAAAAAAAAAGAAAATCCAAAAAAAATAACTTGAACATTTCTAATCTGGCAACACTGCTGCACACTGAGTCTGAATTTTTCGTCGTGTCAATCACGTTTACACACTGCCTCCGAAACTTTCGTCCGTCATAAAGCAATTCGGACCAGGTTCGATTTTCTGCGTTTTCGCATCCGTAGCAAGCATTTTGACATTAAAGGGGTCATATGATGCTATTGAGAAAGGAAAAATTGAAATCACATCATATGACCCCTTTAAAGGATGACGAATACGAAAGTTTCGGACTCAGTGTGCAAGGACCCTTACTCATGTGCAGCTGCTCTTTACTCACAAAAACAACCTTCATTAATGTCAGATACAGTGGCACAATCTTTTATTCAGCAATAATGAAGCCATTTTACGTTGCTTGTCAAACCTATGAAACTGCCTGAACCTAAATTGCATCGATTGAAACACTTTAAATAGTTAAAAACACAAACCTTTCTTTCTTCAGATGAATCACAACAGACGCAGGAGAGTGGCGCAGTCTTATGACGTCACATCACCACACCAAAATAAAAGTCTCGTCATCACCTGCTGTCTAAAATACAAAAATGCACAGAAAATGTAAATAACAGAGAAGTTCAGAGTTGATTCCTTGGTGAAATACATATTTAAACAAATGTTGTCCAATGATGTGTTGAAAATATTAGGAACTACAAATGAAAGAGTGCGAGATTCTGTCTAAAAGACAGAACTTCAATGTGTTCGGGTGTAGAAACCATAACGTTAATGCAGCCTCGTTACTGTTTTTCACTGACATTCATAATCATTACTTCTGCCGGTGTGCCGTGGCAAGCTTTACATGTGTGCTTGAGTGCTTATTAGGCTACGTAGGCAGTTAAAGGTTCATATTTATGATTTAATGGTTTATTAATAAATGTGCGATTAGTCGACTAATGCTTCAAATTAATGACTGCTAGTCGACCAGAAAAACCTTTAGTCGAGGGCAGACCTAATTAAAACAATTAATTTAACTACATTTTTTTTCTTTCAATGATACAAGATGCAATCTCATTATTTACATTAGCTGCCAGAAGCAGAACAGTATATCACATCATACATTTCTATCACACACCCCAGTTTTCTATTAATATAGATTTCAAAATCTATATTATCTATATTACAAAAATACTAGCCTAATCTTTCAAATTATTCCAAACTTTACTGGTTTATGAAATATTGCCATTTGCATTGTCTATGTGGTGTTTAAATATGCTGTTTAATGCTGTTTTATATTTTTATTATAACACCCCTTTAATGATTCATAGATTGTTCATCTTTTCAGTATGTAATATTCCGTTTTTGATCAAAATCGGTACTAATATTTTTACTTTTGTATTTGTAGGGTTGCTGCACATAATAATGATACAAAATGAAAATAGCGGGGGGAAATGAAAACAAAGAAATGTAAAACGGATGGCATTAAAAAATAAAATATTAAAGAATATTCATCATTTTGGCCACTATGGAGAGCAAACAAAGCTTCGTTTTGCCATCAGTAAATAACTGGACCACACATATTTTCAACTGTACAATTAAAACTATATACTAAAACAATACATGTCACAATATTTTTGATATCTGTTCTGTCTAGCAGATCTGACATCATTGACCAGAAGAACAGCAGCGGCCGCAGCAGCCACGCCCATCAGAGCAGAGACGACCAATCGCATCACAGCTTCAACAGAATCACAACAGTGGATGTGAACTTCTGGAAAATCAACAAATAAAGTGGGGTTTAGATTTATGGATGGATCATGGAACAAGTAATTCAGCTGGTGTCTGCGTCCTTAAAAACCATTTTAAAGGGGAGATTGTGACCCAGATGGAAGGTATATTTGCCTTGTAATACAACCCGAATTCTGGAAATGTTGGGACGTTTTTTAAATTTGAATAAAATGAAAACTAAAAGACTTTCAAATCACATGAGCCAATATTTTATTCACAATAGAACATAGAGAACATAAATGTTTAAAAGGATAAATTTTACACTTTTATCCACTAAATTAGCTCATTTCAAATTTGATGCCTGCTACAGGTCTCAAAAAAGTTGGTGTGACGTGCATTCTTTTCGGCTCATTAAAAATTTTTCGGTAACACTTTTTTTCGATAGTCCACTTTAGACATTCTACTAACAGTAAGTAACTTTGCAACTACATGTCAACTAGCAGTCATTAGAGTATTAGTAGACTGTCTGTTTAATATTTTCTAACACTTTATTTTGATAGGTCCACAACATACAACATACTGACTATGAGAAATTTTTCAAGTATATGTCAACTTATTGTACTAATCCTAAACCTACCCTAACAGTCTACTCTGACAGTTAGTAGACATGTAGTTGCAAATTAATGAGAATTAGTTGACATGTAGTTACAAAGTTATTTATAGTTAGTAGAAAGTCTAAAGTGGACTATCAAAATAAAGTGTAACCAATTATTCTTGCTGCCACATTCTGGATTAATTGTAAAGGTTTAATAGAACTGGCTGAAAGACCTGCCAAGAGAGCATTACAATAGTCCAACCTGGACAGAACAAGAGCTTGAACAAGGAGTTGTGAAGCATGTTCCGAAAGAAAGGGTCTGATCTTCTTGAGGTTGAATAAAGCAAATCTGCAGGACCAGACAGTTTTAGCAATGTGGTCTGGGAAAGTTAGCTGATCATCAATCAAAACTCCAAGGTTTCTGGCTGTTTTTGAAGGAGTTATGGTTGATGTGCCTAACTGGATGTGGTTCCTGAGATGCCCTTTGCCAATATAGTTGACAGGAGGATCTGGTAGTTAACCGTGTCAAAAGCAGCGGACAGATCCAGCAAGATAAGTATTGAAGATTTGGAATTCGCTCTTGCCAGTCTTAGGGCTTCAACAACTGAGATCAAGGCATTTAACTCGGTTAAATGTCTACTTCTGAAACCAGGTTCTCTAAAAGAAATGGGTTAAGGGTGGGTTTCTTAAGCACTGGTGTTATACAAGACTGTCTAAATGCTGAGGGGAAAAACACCATTGTGAATGATGTGTTAATCATGTGAGTGAGTGCAGGTACAACTGCAAGAGAAATGGCTTGAATGAGATGAGATGGAATAGGATCAAGCGGACAAGTAGTAGGATGATTAGAAAGGATGAGTTTGGAGACTTCGG